CCTTTCCTTTCCTTTCCGATGGAAAGGATTCTCTGTGGATGTTTCCCACTGGAAGCTCCACAGATTTTTCCCTGCTGTGGCAGCAACACAACCCAAGCTCCCCATCCTGCCTGAGCCCTCTGAAAAACCCCTGAGCTGCTGGGATTGGAGATGCACAACAGCTCAAAACAGCTCAAACCAGCTCAATCCTCCTGAGTCAGGAACCCTCTGCACCCCTGGGTGCATCCCAAAGCTGCAGAGCCCAAGGGATGCTGCCTGCAGTGCCCAGGGGGGAAGCAGAGCCTGGAGTCAGCAGTTTGGGGCAGTTTGGGGCAGTTTGGGGCAGTTTGGGGCAGTTTGGAGCAGTTTGGGGCAGTTTGGGGCAGATCCCCTCTCCTCTCACAGCACAAGCTCCATGCTGAGATGCTCTGGCAGCTGCTCTGGTTTAAGGAGCTCCTGTCACCCAATTTGCAGCCACCTTGCAGCCCCTCAGCTGTGCTGGTCCCGAATTACAGCAGTGAAATCTTTTAAAAACCAGATGTTTTTTGAGGGAAATGGCTTTTCCCTCCTTGCCCTGTCAGCCAGTGGCAGGACATTCCCAGGGGGTGCCTGTGGGGCAGCCACAGCCCTGGGGAACAGGGAATTCTCTAAATGTGCTGGCAGAGCACAGAAGTGCAGCTCTGCTGGGACACTCAGCCTGCACAGGGGCTCCTGGGCTTTCACTGATGCTGCTGGACCCTGGATCTGCTCTGCTCAGCAGCCAGGACCTTGGGGACTGTTGGGATAAATCCATTTGTTATCTCTGCTCTCAGCCCCAGAGCTGAACCCACAGCTCTGAGCACACCAGAAAAACTGGCACGTGCTGTAATGAGAACTACGAAATCAGAAAAAAAACCCCCAGGTATATTTATACACAAGCAGATGCTCTTGTGTTTGTTTTTGTTGTTTTGTTTGTTTGTTTAAAAGACACACAAAGATTTCCAGAGAGCAGAGCCGTGCAGGGCAGGGCTGTGCCTCTCCACCAGCCCTGCCCTTTGCTGTGGCTCATTCCCCTCTCTGCTGGTGCTGCAGNTATCCATTCAGACAAGTGGATATTTCTCTACCCATTTACACAAGCAGGTATTTCTCTGTCCGTTTACACAAGGAGATGGTTTCAAGCCTCGCTTACCCAGGACTGAAAGGAGCAGCACAGCATCACCCTCTGATGGTTCCCCACCCCTGTCCCACCTTCTCCTGCCCAACCTCGGGGCTGGCACCAGCTGGGAGGTGCCAGGAGAGCCCAGGCCAGGCTGGGTGGAGCTCTGGGCACGTGGAATGGCTGTCGGGCATTCGGTGCATTCTCTGAGCCAACAGAACAGAGAGAGAAGCAGCCAGGGTCAACTCACAAACAGAGACAAAGCAAAGAGACAGAGAGACAGAAATTTAGAGGCCAGTCACCAATAAAGATGGAGAAGGGTGTGAAGATGCTCCCGGGTTGCAGAGCCTCTAAATGCATGGAACCAAGCGTTCAGTCACTCTCTCACTCTTGGGTACAATGTTGGGCTGGATGGCATCTCTGGCACTGCAGGGCTGGCTCTGCTCAGTCCCAGCCGTTGTCCTTGATCATGTGAGCTAGTTCAATGATGTATTTGCCTTCTTTATACTTCTGGCTGCTTTCAAAAGCGTGTTCCTGCAATGGAGGCAGGAGCAGAGGGAGATTGAGGTGGTGCTTGCTGGGAATCCGGTCATGGATCAGATTTGGGAATGCTGGTGCGAGTCTGAGCCCTGCCCACAAAGGCAACTGCAGCTCTTCCTGTGGGCTCTCGGGAAATTGTGAGGGGAAAAATCTTAAACCCTGCTTCTGGAATCCCAAATCCTGCTTCTGGAGTATTAAATCTTGCTTCTAGAATCTGAAATCCTGGAATATTAAACTGAAATCCTGGAATATTAAACCCTGCTTCTGGAATCCCAAATCCTGCTTCTGGAATGTTAAATCTTGCTTCTAGAGTCTGAAATCCTGGAATATTAAACCCTGCTTCTGGAATCCCAAATCCCGGTTCTGGAGTATTAAATCTTGCTTCTAGAATCTGAAATCCTGGAATATTAAACTGAAATCCTGGAATATTAAACCCTGCTTCTGGAATAACAAATCTTGCTTCTGGAATATTAAATCTTGCTTCCAGAATCTGAAATCCTGGAATATTAAACCCTGCTTCTGGAATACCAAACCCTGCTTCTGGAATATTAAATCCTGCTTCTGGAATCATAAATCTTGCTTCTAGAATACTAAACCCTGCTTCTAGAATCCCAAATCCTGCTAATGGAATCCTAAATCCTGCTTTCTAGAATCCTAAACAGT